TTCTACATATATATTATTTATATAGCCATGATATGATTTACAAGAAATTGCCTTAAAAAAAACGGAAATCAAAAAGCCCGTTAGGCCCGCTAAGCCCACGAGCCCGACTCGTTTAGTCCAGGACCATATGGGCTTAGACCCGTTACGGGCTGATTCCACCCGTTGAACCCACGAAGCCCGGGACCGCGAGGCCCGGGATTGCCAGAGACCGGGACCGCCAGGCCCAGGCCCGTTAAGATCGGCCCGTTTGGCCCATTTAGGCCCGGCCCCGGCCCAAGGTACAGCATTATGCGATCAGTAAATTTTGTCTATATTATACACCGGTTTCTATTATGCCTCGTTGCACTATTTTTATTTGCAATGAGCCGCGCGGGTACATTTACTAGTAGAGAGAAAATACAAAGCCAGAAGAAGTAACCCAAGAACAGGAAAGCAAATTGCTTTGGAAAAAAATTGAAATCCATTCTTGAAAGTTGAAAATTACCAATCCATTTCCATGGCCACCGCCGGCAAAAAGAGAGGAAGGAAAAAGAAGAAGAAGAATATAATGATGACCAAAAAGATGAACAAACTAACCAAGAAATTCAAAGCCACCCTTCAACTCCGCCACCAACACTGCACCAAACTCATTCCTCAGCTCATCTCCGCCATCTCCTCCGCCCACTCTTTCCTCCTCCGCCATGACCTCAGCCTCCTCCCCCACCAATCCCTTTCCCTCGAATCCCTCATCTCCTCCACCTCTACCTCCATTTCGACCATCTTCTCACTCCTCAACCTCCCCCCTCCTCCCCCACCACCCTCACGCGCCACCCTAGCTTCTCCACCAACCGACCCAACTTCGCCACGCGCCGCCGAGTGCTGGTTCCAGCGATTTCTGGCGGCTGATTCGGACACCCTTTGGGCCGAAAATTTCAATATCACGAAGCCCTCTTTCACTCTCCTGCTCCGCCTTCTCACGCCTTCTCTTTCCTCACTCTCTGTTCCTCCCAATTACGCCCTTGCTGCTGCCCTCTTTCGCCTCGCTCACGGTGCTTCCTTTTCTGCTATTTCACGTCGATTTGGTATTGATTCCCCTACCGCGTGTCGGGTTTTTTACACTGTGTGCAGAGCTATCAATGAGAATCTTGGGCACTTGTTTGAGCTAAAGAACGATATCAATAGGGTCATTGTGGGGTTTGGTTGGATTTCTTTGCCTAATTGTTGTGGTGTTTTGGGGTGTGAAAAGTTTGAATTGGATGGTGATTTTATGGATAAAAATGGGTTCTTGATTGTTCAAGCTTTGGTAGATTCTGAAGGTAGATTCTTAGAT